TAGGGTTAGAAGTTAGCTCTTGCTAGGGAGGTGTGGTTTAGATAAAAGTTTTTGGAATATGATTGTGATTATTACAAGGCTTATTACATGGCATAAGGGACAAAAGGTGGTATAAATTTAACAGGCAGGTACTAAAGTAATTTAAATTGAACATGATATAATAAAGGATGGCATTTTGACAATATAAAGAAAAACAGACTTATCTCATTTTTTCCAAACATTATTCATCATTTATAAGTAAAGTATTGGTGCCTTTATTTTTTTTCATCAACACCTTTCCATTTGAAGTCCATAAAAATGCATATCCGCACTGTTTTTTAAGAACTTTTGCTTGGTAAAATAAGCTTTTGTTTTTGTCAGTCAGATTCTCGACAATGAATACTTTGGATATGTTTCGTATTGAAGTTGTGTTGGTTGCAGTTTTGATTAGATGGCGGTTTTTGAGAAATTTGGAACGAATCTTCCGTTGGTGAATTTTGCGACAATGGGCTTGTGAATTTTGGGGTTACGTGTCGGACAACGATGAGTAACCGAGGGTTTTATATCGACATGGATCATTTTGCCGATTTCTGTAATCAGTTTGTCAGTGTCCTCATTGTCTTTGGGTGCAATACCATGAAATTCCAAGTTATCCAATCTAGATCTACGTTCATGTTCTTCTAATTTTTCAGTTACATAGTACAGATCTTCTTCAAGAGTATAGACTAGATCTTCCACTTTTCTTATCCATTTGCCATGTTGTGTTAGTGTTTCATCAGTAGTTCTTTGCTTTGCTAAAATTTCATCATACATCATGTGGGAAGATATTCGGAAAATTTTCTGAGATATTAAATTAGGAAGTTGGTTCATTATATTTCTCTGTATTGCCTCCTAGAGTACCGCCTGGAAATTTAGAGGTTCATCAAGATTTTGCGTGAAGAGACCAATTGGTGATAGACCAGGGTCGGGAAGGCTTCTACTTAGACGTTGTTTTGGTTTTGGCTTGGAGATGTTGCTCACAGAAGCCATGTCTTTGTTGTTCGACATGTCGCTGATAAATGAGAGCGTTGAAATTCAGCAGCGAATACTAAAATGCTAGACTATTCAGCTATTTAAGGTTATATTTAGAACCTGTAGATCTTAAGCAGCGAATAATCAAAAGATAAAAATTACATGTGATGAAATTGAATTAGCGCCACCTAATGTGGCCAACGTGGCACCATCGTTAATAGTCTCGTGGCAATGCGAAGGTTTTATTTGGTTAGCGTGCGTCAGGATTGCTACATCTTGTACATTACATAAATCTAATAAAAAGGACAATAACGAATGCAATAATTGATCATTCTCATGAACCGGTTAATCCCCAGTTGTTCTGGGATGTTCTCAAATGCTTGATAAGAGGGGAAGCATAGCTTATGCGAGTAAACAGAACTACTTAAAGCAAAAACAAAGGATAGAATTGGAGTCTAAAGTCAATCAACTAAGAAATGAAATGCACTCAAATAATTCGACAGACCCCTATAAAAATCTTATAAAGGAACAGAAAAAACTAAATTTATTATATCAAAGCATAACACGGGGAGATATTATACGCAGTAAAGCAAAATTGACTGAAGATGGAAAAAACTGAAAATATTTTTTTTTGACTAGAAAAACGAAGAAAGCTAAATTTCACAATATCGACCTTAAAAACAGAACATGGTATCTCATCCAATAAAGAAGATATAATGAAAGAAACACAAAGATTTTACGAAACATTATACAGTTCTGGGGGCCCCATTCGCCAAACTTCGTAAACATCCGCGTTTACGAGCACGTAACTTCGTCTCTCAAAAATGCAACAGCAAAATCTCGTTAAGTGCGATTCACGAAAGATCTCGTAAACACTTTACGCACGGTCACGCAAGTTCTCTCGAAATCTTACGCACGGTCGTCGTTGAACGAAACCCCTGTATGATCACTCAACCGTATCACACATCCGCCGCTGACCGCCCGGAGCGGACAAGGCTATCTTGCGACAGTCTGTAGGGTTTCCATGTTTGCCGCCTGTATTTTAAAATTTGGGTTATATAGCAATAATCTATGGATGAATGACATGAATGCTGGAGTACATATTGTTGTGTATGTTAGTATTGTGACGTAATAATAGCGTCTGGGTCTACTCGACGCAGACGCGTAATAATGGGATTCGAGTAGGCTGTTGTTGATGTGATGGTACTGTTTTGCTGCTAAGATTAGAGACTATTCCATTCATACGAACAACGTGTCTATTTGCCTCCAATATAATAAGGGACACGACATGGTGTCAAAAGTGGGATCTGTATTGTGAATAAGTCAAATTGAAAACGGTGTCAACGCTGCAAAAACTACCAGTCAAAAGAAGCTTCAAAGCATTTGCGGAAAAGTGTCATGGCGTCGATTCAAGTTGCGCCGCCAGAGACATTGGATTTTCCCAAGCCGCAAGGATGGCAGCAATGAATTAAACGTTTCGACCGGTACAGAATTGCTTCCGAGTTGAATAAAAAAGACGGTGAATCCCACGTGAACATGCTTATTTATTCGATGGGCGCGAAAGCCGAGGATATATTATCTTCTTATAAACTGAGCGACGATGAGCTGAAAAGTTATGAGACTGTTAAAAACAAGTTTCAAAATCATTTTGTAATTCGCCGAAACATAATTTTCGAGCGTGCGCAGTTCAACCTTCGTTGTCAAGGAGAAAATGAGTCGGTCGATTCATTTATTACCGCAGTCCACAGTATGGCGAAATATTTGCAGTTTGGGGATTTGCACGATGACTTAATCCGTGACCGAATCGTAGTAGGAATTCGAGACGCAAAATTGTCGGAAAGGCTACAGTTAGACCCTGATTTGACACTAGAAAAGGCAATTAAACAAGTTCGGCAAAGCGAACAAGTAAAACGTCAGCAATCAATGTTGCGACAAGGTGATATTCTTCCCAAAAGTTCTGATTTTGTTGATTCCGTGAGATCTCACAGGAAATTTGGTAAGCACAAACACGGCTTGCAAAAGTCGCAAAGCAATAATTATCGATGCGGCAGGTGTGGTAAATCAAACAAACACAGTCGAGAAAAATGTGAAATGTTTCAAATGTCCTAAAATTGGACATTACGCTATTTGTGCCATGGAGCCACAAATGTTGATCACGTCGATAGGGATGTCGATTCTCCAGATTCAGATGTCGAAAAGCACGAAAATAAAGGATTTTTAGAGAATGTCGGTGAATCATCATCACACAAGTGGATGCTAGATTTGTTTGTAAAGAATGTCAAAATAAATTTTAAAGTTGGTACTGGCGCCGATGTTACGGTTATATCCGAAAATGATTTCAAAAAGATGAAAAACGTGAAATTGACCCCAAGTCACAGGAAATTATTCGGAGGTAATGGTAAATGCCTGGATGTAATTGGCAAGTTAGCAAGCATTTGAAATATCCATTATTAGTACGACCTGCGATCGAATCTCTTGCCATTGTTTATTTTGTTGGTGACGTCACGTCTGAGGATCAAAAATACAAAAAGAAATATCCAAAGGTATTCTCCAGATTAGGACAACTTGAGGGCGAATATAAAATTGTTTTGCACGAAAATGCTGTTCAATTCGCAATAACCGTACCAAAACGTGTACAGTTACCCCATTTGTCAAAAGTTAAAATGTTACTGTTGAAAATGGAACAAGATGGAGTGATTTCCCGCGTAAACGAGCCTACAGATTGGTGTGCAGGGATGATGGTTGTACCAAAACCGGATGGTAGCGTTCGCATTTGTACAGATTTGACGCATCTAATTAAAGCAGTCAAGCGTGAAAAACATCCGTTACCAGCATCAGAACAAATTTTGGAACAATTAAGTGGTTCGAAAGTGTTCAGTAAACTCGATGCAAAATCGGGATTTTGGCAAGTCAAGCTTGCAAAAGAGTCACGTTTATTGACCACATTTATGACTCCTATTGGACGTTTTTGTTATGAAAGACTCCCGTTTGGAATCTCTAGTGCCCCTGAACACTTCCAGCGAAGGATGTGCGATATTTTAATAGGTCTTGACGGCGTAGTATGTTTAATGGACGATGTCTTGGTTCACGGACGAAACCAAGAGGAACATGACAAAAGACTTGACGCTGTTTTGAAAAAGATAGCAAAAGCAGGTCTTACGTTAAACGACAAATGTCTGTTTTCCCGCCGAAAATTAAAGTTTCTTAGTTTTATGATAGATTCAGAAGGTGTTCACCCTGACCCTCAAAAGGTCATGGCTATTTCCAAAATGCCAGATCTTACAAATGTTTCCGAACTGAGATTTTTTCTGGGAATGGTTAATCAATTGGGAAAATTCTCTAGAAACCTCGCTGACATATCGAAACCATTGCGTGACCTATTAAGTAAAAAGAATTCATGGATATGGGAACAACCTCAAATTGATTCGTTTCACAGGGTGAAGCAAGAATGCTTGAAAGTTTTGTCGCTATACAACCCGAATAGTGCAACTATTGTATCAGCAGACGCAAGTTCTTACGGCTTGGGAGCCACCCTGAAACAGAAAGATTCTAACAGACAATGGAAACCTGTGGCGTTTGCTTCACGCGCTATGAACACCACAGTGCAGAAATATGCGCAATTAGAAAAAGAGGCATTAGCAGTTACGAGGGCGTGTGAGCGTTTTCAAGATTTTCTCGTAGGAATGCATTTCATGATAAACACAGACCACAAACCACTAGTTGCTTTATTCGGCACGAAAAGCCTAGATGAGTTGCCTCCGCGAATCCAAAGATTTAGGTTGAGATTGATGCGGTTTTCCTTCGATATTTCTCACATCCCAGGAAAGCACTTGATAATAGCAGACACTTTGTCTCGTGCACCACTGGACGACATGCGAGAAGAAGATATTCAGCTGAATGAAGACAGAGATATTTATCTTTGTTCTGGTATTGATGGGTTCCCAGCATCAGAAAAGCGCTTGCAGCAAATTCGTGTACATTGAAATGAGGACATTGTCTGTAAAGAAATTATGAATTTTTGTATGCACGGATGGCCGGATGAATCCAGGCTTAATGACGTATTGTTGCCGTACTACCAAGTACGCGGTGATCTTACTGTAATTGACGGATTGTTGCTACGCGAAACCAGATTAGTAATTCCAGCATCGTTGCGACTTGATATTTTGGAGAAAATACATGAAGGACACATGGGGATCGTAAAATGCCGAAGTCGAGCAAGATCTTCAGTGTGGTGGCCTTACATGGACAAGCAAGTGGAAGAAGTTTGTAAGAGCTGTCCTTCTTGTTGTGAATTTTCACAAACCAAAACTCAACCATTAATTCCGAGTGAATATCCTGAATATTTGTTAGCTGTTGATTATTTCTCCAGATGGACCGAGATTGCATTGTTACAGGATACGACGTCGCTTACAGTAATCAATCATCTTAAGTCAGTTATCGCAAAGTACGGAATACCTGAAGTGATAATTTCTGACAATGGACCACAATACGCTTCGGGAGAATTTTCCAAATTTGCAGAAGAATATGGATTTTGTCATATAACGACAAGTCCTTGCTATGCTCAATGTAACGGAGAGGCGGAGCGTGTAGTCCAAACTATTAAAAATCTGCTTAAAAGAACAAAAGATCCATACATGGCATTGCTGAATTATAGAAGTACAGCTTTGAAAAATGGTTATTCTCCAAGTGAACTTCTCATGGGAAGAAAGTTGAGAACGAAGTTACCAGTTTATTCAAGTAAATTGATTCCAAAATGGCCTAACATGGATGAATTGCAAAATAAAGAGGTAGGCGATAAAATGAAACAAAAGATGCATTTTGATAAAAGGCACAGAGCTCAAAATATGGAAAAATTGCAGATTGGTGATCATGCATGGATCAAAGATGGTCTTCAAAAGAGCAAGGTGTTATAACTGGGTATGCTGATAAACCACGTTCATATATGATCCTAACACCGAGTGGTACGTTGAGACGTAATCGTCGACATCTCAAGAAAGTTCCAGAAAGACCAACTTCGGACGAAGAAACAGAATCTCCCATTAAAACGGATGTACAGGTTAAACCGAACGAGCCTGTTCAAGAAAATACGGAGAAAGTGAACATTACAAGATCTGGACAAATTTCTAGACCTCCAGAAAAACTAAATTTGTAAATAATTATGAAGGCGGTCATATTGTGATAACATCGTTATTGTGCAAGTTTCTTTAAATTGTTTTATGTTCACTTTTTGATAATGTTTAGAAACATATCTTTCCAGTAAGGGGGGTGTTGTGTATGTTAGTATTGTGACGTAATAATAGCGTCTGGGTCTACTCGACGCAGACGCGTAATAATGGGATTCGAGTAGGCTGTTGTTGATGTGATGGTACTGTTTTGCTGCTAAGATTAAAGACTATTCCATTCATACGAACAACGTGTCTATTTGCCTTCAATATAATAAGGGACACGACACATATTGTTTACTACTTCTGTAACAGACAATGAAATAGATGATATGTAATCCTATATTTGATGTTAGTACCGGTATCGGTACTAATTGCTGCATTGATTTAGTCTGTGTATAGGCTCAGGCCCTTTACTCCAGTGAATAGAGTTGACTACTCTACAAGTATTAGACTACAGTCACCCTTACCTAAGTTAGGCATTTAGAGATTTAAAATGCATGCAAACACCACAGAATGACTATTTCAACTCGAATCCATGCTAAGAACAGGCCGAACTACTTTAACGAGGATAATTAGCACTCGTTAGTTTGCGAGCACTCCAGCATGTGATTCTCGGTAAAATGAGAGAAGAAGGCACTTTACGAGACGTCTGTTTTGTCGCGCAAAAAATTCTCTCGAATATTTACGATGCTTCGTGAATACCATTTTTGCCTTTTACGAGAAAGTCGGTGCTTTACCAACACGTTAAATGATGAAGAATGGGGCCCTGATCTACCGTACCATATATATACCCAAAATATTATTGAGACTTTGAATATATCCGCTATGGAAAATGATATTTCTCTTATGTTTTGGTGACAAATTACAGAACAGCAATGTAACAACGCACTTTTCAAAATGACAGACGGCAAAATCCCGGGTTCAGACGGATTACCTTGCGAATTTTATAAGAACTTTTATAACCCTTATATTGAAGAAAGGAAAACCGCCGACAATTTGAGAAATTATCAACCCATCGCGCTATTGAACACCGATTATAGAATTCTAAGTAAAGTACTCACCACACAAATTCAAATGGTTATGGACAATATAATTCACAAAGATCAAGAAGGATTTATTCAAAACAGGCAAATGGGAGAAAACATACGATTACTCTGTGATATAGTTAACCATACATCATACAATGAAATACCTAGACAGTGACAGTGTCGAATGGTGCTTCCTGTTCCAGTCGCTAAAAGCATTCGGATTTCAAGACAACTTCATTTCGCGGATAAATTTTTTTTTATAATCAAAACAAACTTTTTGTAACAAACAACAATTTATTCTCTAGGTCTATTATTCCACAAAGAGGGCATAAACAAGACGATCCAATCTCACCGTATTTATTCCTCATAGTAATAGAAATATTTGCAACTACGGTCCGTAATAATGATGATATCACTAGATTTAAAATCGCAGAAAACGAAATCAAAATAGCCCTAGCTGCAGATGATATCGTAGTATTTACTGATGGTTCATTTAGAGGCATAGAAATATTACTTCGAACCGCTGAAGTGTTTCGAACAATATCAGGGTGCAAAACAAATGCTGAAAAATCAAGCAATATATATTGGAAGTAAAAGTGGCATAATTGAACGAAATATTCAGCACAATCTGAAATGGACTTACGAATTTAAATTGTTGGGAATTACAATTACGGCTAATTTGAAACAACTATATGAACTTAACTTGCCGTCGAAATTGCAGCTAGTACAAAACATTATCCAAATTTGGCATATGAGAAATTTTACAATTCTAGGAAAAGTGTGTGTAATCAAATTATTAATCCTATTCCTTTTTACAAGTCAATTTACATTTTTACCAGTTACGATACCCAAAAAATTCGTAAAATCACTGAATTCTTTAATATTTCGTTATTTATGGAATTCAAATTGGGAAAGAGTCAATCGTAAAACACTGATTGACCCGACAATGAAAGGTGGAATTGACATGGTATATGAGTCGAAAGAGAGTAATTGGAAAACTATTGAACTTTATTATTTACAAGATATAGAAATACATTGTTTACTAAAAGGAAATTTATGGTATAACTCTCGCTTCATGAAAAATCTTTATTTCGTACCAACTAGGGATACACTTCGTACCTGGTACATATGCAAGGAATTAACATGTAATGCCAATATCCATCTATATAATGAACCATTATGATACAACAACAAATTGCAATATGCAAGAATGCTATTTAAAAAAAAAAAAAAAAAACTGGAAAGAACAAGGAGTCTGTGAATTACACCATTTGGTGAACATAAATTCTTTATTATCTTATTTTCAACTGATAGAACGTTAATACAAATATAACGCAAATGAGTATCGAGAGTACTATAAATTAATTGGCTGCATACCAGAATGTTGGATGGATTGTATTGAGAATTCTAGTGAATTTAATTGTTTACAGAATATAAATATGTCTGATTTTGATGAATTTTTATTTAGTACATTATGTGAAAATACGTGCCGCTCATCGTATAAACGTATTATAGAAAAAACAACATAGGTTTTGGAAAGAAAATCTAAATTTACCCAATGACTTTATTTGGCTGTCATACTGTGCAAATAATTATTATTCAACAATTGAAACCAAACTAAGATCTTTTCAAACTAACTTTTTTCTAAAGGTCATTGTACGAAATAATATTTTATATGAATTTAACTTGGTGAATTCAAATCTATGTGGATTTTGTGAAAATGCAATTGAAGACCTATTTCACTTTTTTATTATTGTCCAACCACGCAAGATTTTTGGGCACAGGTTAATCAATACTTATATTTTATTACTGTCAATCTCGCAATTACTCTAGAAAAAAAGAATGTTTTTTAGGTTATTTTGAACCCCCGAATAACATGTTAATCAATTGTATATTAATTTGTGCACGTTTTTTTTATATCTCGATGTAAGCTGCAGCATATTCTTCCAATATTTGACCTTTTTGTTAACTTTACCCAAAGTTTGAAAGAAAACAAGAAGACGAGAAAAGGTATGCAATTAACCGGGGCAAAATAGGTATACATAATAAAAAGTGGAATATTATGTGAATATATTATTTATACATTTGAAATATGATATGCCTATGTTAGATTTTATTTTATGAAATCAATGCAAAAAAAAATCCTATTAAACAGAAATGGACTATCGACTTTCTAAAAGAGGAAGGAAGGGAAGAGCAAAAAGACAGTATCTGTGAGTTCTCAGCTGAGTAACGGCCCAAGTCACTTGAAGAAATTAAACAGTTAAACGTTCCGCATACTTTCGACTCCACCAGTGAAAAATAACTAATGGATACGTAAACATTGAATGTGATGGGAAATATAAATAAAATTCATCTACTTGCCTAATTACAGAACAGCACAAAACTTGAAACATTTTGTTCTTCTAACTTTAGAATTCCCTCTTTCATCTGGATTCATAGTCAAAAGTTTTAAAATCAGTGAGGTTGCCGTTTCGGATAACGCTTCGTCACCTTCTAGCCATTCCATCTCTGTAAGAAAGAATATATTTACTTAAAAAATGTTTGCTTGTAGCCCTACAAGCATTGCTGGGATTCAGCCGGTTCGTACCGGTTCTATAGGACCGTCCCACGGAATGTTATGAGATCAGCGAACCCGTTAGCATTACTGGTTACTGTCAATGACTTTTTGTAACAGAACCTGTTGAAAAATACGACTTTTGTGATGGAACCGGCTGCCAAAAAAATGGAATCCGACCACTGCCCACAAGTTGTCATATATTTGAATTCTTTGGTATATATATGGAAAGTATAAACAAGGCTGAAACCGTATGTAGACTCATCTCTGCACAAAGTTACCGTTACTCACTCAGAAGTTAACAAGACTCATCTCTGCACAAAATTACCGTCACTCACTCAGAAGTAAACGAGACTCATCTCTGAGCAAAGTTACCTGCACTCACTCAGAAGTAAACGAGACTCATCTCTGCCCAAAGTTACCGTTACTCACTCAGAAGTAAACAAGACTCATCTCTGCACAAAATTACCGTTACTCACTCAGAAGTAAACGAGACTCATCTCTGATCAAAGTTACCGACACTCACTCACAAATAAAAGAGACTCATCTCTGAGCAAAGTTACGGTCACTCACTCAGAAGTAAAGGACACTCATCTCTGAGCAAAGTTACTTGCATTCACTCAATGATAAAAAAGTCTCTAACATCTAAGCAAAGTTGTGGGCACTCATGTTTGTTGTGGGCACTCATCCGAGCAATGTTACTCGGACTCACTTAGTTATAGTTGAGGTCAGTAATAATCTAAATAGAGTGTGCACCGAGCTTTTTCCATACAGGTTAGAATTTCCATAAGCTATGTGGTGGCTAGCGTATTTCTAACGCATAGAACGATGCGTCACCCCATCAAACCATGTTTGCTTAACAATTCGCGAACCCTTTGTAGGTTTGAATTTCAGAATGAGAAATATCTATACGCTTGTCTTATAAAAGTATTTTAGTAAAAAGTTATAAGCTGATTGCGTTCACTATTTAAATATTATTGAATTCAACTAACATTACTGTATATTTTAATACAATATGTAAAAATATTTTTAAAATTTATTGCGATATAGATATATAGAATATTACGATTAACTCGAATTAGTTCTGCGATGTCGTTGTTTATCCCATAACGAACCTCATGCGATATCGTTAATCCGATTAAGATCTGGAACTGTCACGACAT